GGTGGGGGTGGGTGGGCAGGGTGGAGCCCCTCGGCCCCTCCCGCCCCTTTCCCGCGCGTCCCGCCCACTGCTAGGTCGGGCGCCCACCTCCCGATCACTGGCGGCTGCCGGGCCACCTTCTGGGTCTCGCCCTGTGTCGTTCCCTCCCCAGGTCCCCTCGCCTCTCCTGGGACGTTCTTCACCCCTCACCGGCTCCCTCCTCCCTCCTTATCTCCTGGCTCGCTCGCAGCCTCTTCTGTTCCTTTTCTCACTCACTTCACTCGCTTATCTTCCTACCGCGGCCTTGCCCCTCGCCGCTCTGTTTTCTCTTCTCGGACACCTCGGTTTCCCCTTCTCCCTTTGGCAGCCCACACCATCCTGGTCCATGCCACCCTACATGCTCAGTCTGGAAGCGTTAGTTGAACCCCAGTGCCAGGCACCCTGTGGTGGTGGGGTGAATCCCAGAGAGATAAGACCCAGAAATCTACTTCCAGACAGACAGGGCTGGGTAGGGCCAAGATAATCATAGCTATGCAGTGAGCCCTGGGCTGGTATCAGGTTCGTGGGGCTTCACCAGCTATTCATTAATATTTCTAACGACAGTTAATATTTACTGGGTGTCTTCTGTGTGCTGGAGCCTGTTCCAAGTACTTTGCAGCAATGGCTCCATTTCTATCTCACTGTGGTAAGATGGGGACTAGCTATTAGGAACCCCATTTTACAGATACTGAGGCCAGGGGAGGTGACGGAAGGATCAGGACCAGTGTCCAGATACAACCCGGAGATGTGGATTTGCAAACCAGAGGCCTCATGGCTATGAAGGGCTCTGATAGATGTAAGCTCATAAGTGAAGGAGGCAGGGTTCTAAATTAAATGTTGAGTTTTCGGGTCTAGGGCTTAGCCACTCTTGTCTGAAGATAGATCCCAACCCAGGTTAGGACACCTGGGAGGAGGAAGGAATTAATAGTGTCTGTGTGCTTCAGACAGAACCCCAGGTGGCATTCTGGTTACACATTGGGCTGCTAACTGCAAGGTCCCCAGTTCAAAACCACCAGCCACTCTGCGGAAGGAAGTTGGGGCTTTCTACTCCGGCAAACAGTTATAATCTGGGAAACTCACTAGGGTATATCTTCTCTTGCCCGTGGGCTCGCTGAGTCAGCATCAACTCGCTGGCAGCGAGCTTGGATTCTTGCTTTTTGGTGTGCCTCAGGCAGGAGCCCTGGTGGAGCTGCTGGGTGAAGGCTGGATTGCTAACCCCAAGATTGGAGGTTCAAAATGACCAGCCACTGCTGGGGAGAAAGAGAAGAGCTGTCTACTCTCACAAAGATGTAGAAAGCCTCAGAAGCCCTAACTAGGGCCTCTAAGAGTCGGGATCAATTTGATGGCAGTGGCTGTGGCTCAGAAGGGGCCCTGATGGTCCTGCTAACTGAAAGGCCTGTGCTGGAACCCAGCAGCTGCCCAGAGGGAGAAAGACTGGGCAATTGGCTTCCGAGTGTGGATCACCTGGACGCCCGTGGGTGACACGAGAATCAGTGGCAGCATTATCACTTTCCATGTGGGAGATCCAGGTTTGATTCTTGGTCAGTGCACCTCCTCATCCCTGTCTGTCAGTGGAGGCTCAAGAGTTGCTGTGATGCTGAACCTGTTCCCTCCGAGTTTACTGGGTGCATACGGGGTGGACGAAGACAGACTGGGAAGAAAGGCCTGGCAATCTATGGAGAACCACATGGATCACAACAATCTAATCCATGGGGATGGTGTGCAGGGGGTCACTGAGGGTCAGGGCCCACTGGACAGCAATGACTAATATGGGGAGGGTTCCCAGGAGAGCCTCAGAAGTGGGTGACTTTGGGGTACCCCGTGCTTCATGCCTTCCCCAGACTTTCTCGTGGTAGACACTTTAGACGAGAGGCTTGGGAGGGGTGTTGGTGGGGAGGGCATCCTGGGGAGGTGTCTCCTAGGAGCACCCTGTCCAGGGCTTCTGTCATCCATCCAATGGGCCCCTCCTTGCAGTGGCCATGGAGAAGGGCGAGGGTCCAGTCCTTTGAATGTTCAACCTGCATGTAAGGAGCGCCAGTTGTGTGAATGGGGACACAGAGGGGCCAAGGACAGGCCCACTTCATGTGACGTGATCTAGGTGCGCTGCATGGCAGATGAGGCAGAAGGACATGCAGCCCCGAGAGTGGGACAGGATGACCTAGCTGGGTCATGGTCCAGACGGGGGCCTTTCCTTCCCTCCATTTCCTCCCCCTCAAGAGATTCTGCTACTGTTGGCTCAGAAAGGGGAAGTGCCAGTCTCTTCAGGGCCAGGCAGCTGAGGGCAGGATGGTACCAGAGCCAGAAAGAGCCAGCCACTTGCTAGCTGTGTGGCCTTGGGCAAGTTACTTAACCATTCTGACCTTCCAGT